ATGTTTAGAAAATAAACGTCTCAGTTTCTCTGATACTCCCTCAACATATGGAATGACCACTGGTCTGGGTCTGGGTTCCTCCTTTTCACCTGTTGGCTGACTGGAGTCCTGTTTGGGTTTCTTCTCTGCTTTTAGGAAGGCCCAGTTAGGATATCCACATTGCTCTAGAGCCTGTCTTGTGTGGGATTTCTCCTTCTGCCTGGCTCCTGAGCTAGTGGGGATGCTGTCTGCTCTGTGATAGAGTCCTGATGACTCCTAACTTGTGCTCCAAAGGGTGATGGGAGTCAAACTGCAAATACTGGTCTGTGTGGGTGGGTTTGCGGTACACCTCAGTTTGCAAATGTCCTCTATCAGAGACTGAGACCTCACAGTCCAAGAAAGCCAACTTGCCATTTTTTTCATCTTCTCGTGTGAACTTGATGTATTTATCCACAGAGTTGATGTGGTCAGTAAAATGTTGGACTTCCTGAGATTTAATTTTAACCCAGGTGTCGTCAACATACCTGAACCAATGACTTGGTGGTGTCCCTGAAAAGGACGTCAAGGCTCTCTTTTCTACCTCCTCCATGTACAGGTTGGCAACAATAGGAGAAACTGGAGACCCCATAGCACACCCATGTTTCTGCCTATAATATTGCTCCCCATATGTGAAGTAGGTTGACTGCAGGCACAGTTTCAAGAGTTGACACAGTTGTTCTGTGGAAAGCGTGGTTCTGCTGCTCAGAGTGGTGTCTGATTTTAATTTTAAACTGACCACCTCTACTGCATCATCAACAGGAATGCACGTAAAGAGTGATGTGACATCAAAAGAGACCATTGTTTCATCAGTCTCCATGATGACATGGTTCATTTTTAAATAAAACTAGATTTTAAACCATAAAACAAACTTACTTAATGACAATAACTGCTGGATCTCCAGCCTCTGAGCTCTTGGCTTTCAGTAACCGTGGCCACCTGAACAGTTTAGTTGAATGGCCCTGATATAGATCGACTCGATTAGCCTAACGAGTTGTCAGTGAAAAGGGGAGGCCTATACCACCATTTTGACCCCCTGGTATTTAAATTAGAAGTGCCTGGTAAAGCATAGCCGCTCTTTAAAGCAGAATTACGCTACAACAAACTGCTGGCGGGCCCCCGAATGTGAAAACGTCGTGTTACTTCTGGACTCATTTGCATACTGAACGCTGACTGGCTGTTGACTGGGAGGAGGGTCTCTGCTGAATATATACAGCTGGCACACAACACGGAGTGGAGGAGATGAAAAGCTTGTGTCTTTTGATTTGAGGGGGCAAAGCATTTGTTTGATTGCCCCCTCTTGCCCCAGCGTATAGCCGGCCCTGTGTCATTCACTCCTCAACATAGGGTGAACAGTTCAAAGAAGAAAACGCTGAACCCAGGACAAAACTAAATGCAGAATGGAAGATTATTGTACTTACACATCAGCTGCAGTTAGACTTCCAGGAACTAGAGGTTTGGCTGTGAATCTGTGGCCGGACTTCTAAAAAAAAGGTCAGAGAACAGAAAGAGTGGAAGAAAACCGCATCAGATAAAGAGAAGAGGAAAGACTCCCTCGAATGTTCTAAACTTTGCTTGACGGCATTAGAAATACTAAAACCGCATAAAAAATTCAAACTACGCAAAATTAAACACAGCCCTGCTATGAGCTTTTTGATCATATAAATATAGTATCGACAGCAAAGTCCATGCTCAATAATCCAGGTATAGAATCCAACAATGTTCAGTCAGGTCATCAGGACGGTTCCTTTATTTGTGCTGAAACGGTTCGTCCTTCATCCAAAGGACTTCCTCAAGGAGTTGACGAGGGAGAGGGCGAGCCCCGGAGGCCATCTTAGCACCAGCAAACTGTTTTTTTTTTTCCACTATGGAGTATGCTGTTAGTGGGAATCAGTTTTGTTTGGTGGCTCCTCAGATTGAGGAAGACAAAACGTCTCAGCGCAAAAAAAAAAAAAACACGTCCAGATGACCTGACTGAACATTGTTGGATATTATCGACAGAATCTCTTACCGGTACTTTAAGACACTGCAGACATTTCTTTCAACATTTTTCCAAAGCTCTATCTGGTGGAAACAATAATAATCACAAAAGGAATGATTGCTCTTTTCATACCATCGGTGGCGACAGGAGATTTAGACTTTTAATGGCATCTCTGGTTGTATTCCAGTTCCACTCGGCAGCCGGCTGTTAGAGTTTTGACACAGTCATTTGTCATAATATCTTCAGGGAATGACATTCTGCAAAATACCACAAGAATTTCATCCACTTTGGTAATGTCACAAGCTGAGATGTCTACTGTGATTTTGGCAAAATGCTAAAAAATGTCAAACGGCTGTCCAAGAACACCATCTCCTATCAGCTCCCAAACATTTCCCAACACAAGTGTAATCACTGATGATGATGATGCGTTCATTTATTCAGACTAGAGAAGTTGTGTGTGTGCGTTTTCTTTGGTCCATGACATCACCTAATTCCAGTAAGAGACACACGCTGAGGCATGTCTGTCAGTTTCGCGTTAGTTATCTTTAGAAAGCTTATTTTACAAAATAAAACCTAAATTGAATTTTAAACCACATCTTAGAGCCTTAAGGCTTAAAACAGGTTGTCTTGAACCTAAAGTTGTGTTTTTTTAGAACAGTAAACAAAAGTCAAATATTTAACGATCAGCCTAAAACAGATTCCTTAAAGGCCCGCCACCTTTTAGACTAAGATCATCTTGAGTTGTAACTATTTTGGTCAAATCGTGAAAATAACTCGTAGAAGCCCATCCAGTTATTTCGATCTGAAAGATTCAATCAAATCCATCCTGTGGTTCATCAGATATTTTGCTAACAGAACTGATTTCAATTGTTAATGGCAAAGCTTTAAGCACATATTTAATGCAATCAGTAAGTCAGAGACTCACCTGCATATTATTATAATATGTGTATAATTGACTGGGATAATAAACATGAAATGGAATAAAACATAAATTAAATATCCCCCTTTTTTTATTGCAAACCTGCTTAAATCCTAATAAAATAAAAAATGTGAAAACAACAGCTTTAAAACTGCATAATTAGTTTAAGAAAAGCAATGCTTAACATCTCACAAGCTTTACGTAACGTGCACAGCTTTGACACTTTAATGTTTCACATTGTATCAGGTTGAAACTCGAATTGTTGGAATATGCAAGATTAATACAGAAATATAACTTGTTTTCCTTCTAATTGTTAAAAATACTAATTTGTCTCTCTTGAGTTAGTCAAAACATGATCGCAGAGTCCAAAGAGTCTCGTGTTCTCATCTCAGTCTGATGCTTTTAGTGAAGTCAGACAGAACGAAGTGATGCTGGAAGGTGTTAAAAGCATCATTATTAACTGACAAAGGCTGTTTTTCTACTGAGTAGTGCTTGCTGTAAATTGATTCCTCCTGTAAATATGCTTTATTACTACTCAGTTACAAAGGATATTTTTTTCAGGACAGGAAGAGTTTGTATAAAAGTATTACAGAATGGACAATAGAAGACCAGAGAGATGGTTGTGGACATCTACAGGACCGTCCCCCTCTTGCTGCTGTACCATTGCGATGTTGCACAAATTTCTTTTTAGCCATGTTTTTCAACTTCATTGTGTTTTTAGGCACTTTGGCTTTGTCCTTCATAATAAAAGTGCGAGATGGCATCCTTTTCCAGAACAGACCCGTTTTGTTCACGTTAAAAACGTGTTCAGACCTGTAGACCCCCGGCTCGGCGATCAGATCTTTGACCGTCGTGTTAACAAACTCCTCCGCTCCTGCTGTGTCAGCGGACGCAGCCTCTCCGTGCAGAGAAACACTTTTTAATTCAAATCGTTGTAGAAATGTGTCAAACCATCCCTTGTGGAACTAAATGCAGTGGTTCGGTGGTTGAACCAGGTTGTCGAGAGGTCCAGCTTCGGGTTTGTTCCCGCTCTTCCTTTACATCGCCATGTCTTTTCCTCTGTGCTTTTGTTTTAGTCCATTTTATTCAGCTTTAAATCTATTTTATTATTCCCCTACACCAAGCCCTAAAGAAATCTGCGTTTGGTTCTTATTGTGAGGTTTGAATGACAATAAATCTGAATGTTGCTTCATTTTAACTGTAAAAGGAAACTGTTTTCATGCCAGTAAAGTTGAACTGTGTTTTATTTGTTGGTGAAAGTTTTCCATCATTTCTCAAAGACATCACTCTTCTCTTCTGTGAGGAACAGACAGAGAAAACGAAACAAAGCAGTGTTATCAGAAAATCCAAACATTGTGAACTCCAGGAGTCCATGGACGGTGACGTCGCCGTTTTCTGTCACTCGTCCAGTAAATTTGCTCGTCTAGCTTTCAGTTCCTGAAAGGCCACTTGTGTAAACTTTGTTGGCCCTCGGGGCTAATTGCTGAATTAGTGGGTTCTTGTGGCCCCGTGCTAAAATGACCACACTTGTTCCATATGCATGAAAGTCTCAGCTTCCTCTCTCTTGTTAGAGACTCTCTTGTTAAAACTTTCTGAATCACAGCTGAGCTGCTCGTTGAACTTCAGTCACCAGGTGTGTATGTGTGTGAATGTTACAAAAACACAGACGTGCAAGTACAAGGTCAGCTCCTCTTTACAGTTCAATCTCTAACTCACTAAAGTTGAGTGACTGTATGAAGATAATAGATGGAAGCGTGCACGTACACACTTAGTTGTAATCTGTGTGTATGTGTTGCGAGGCCAACTGAGTCCAGACCAGGAAGAATAGATGTGAAGAACAGAATAATAAACAGGGAATAGAGAAGTTAGCCAAGATTTGATAAATCTCTTTAGAGAAACTAAGGGGACCTCGAGGTTTTATTTTGCCACAACTTTTTTGCTTTCCTTTCTTTTTACAGACAAACATTTTGCCTATAGCCTACATTATAAAATGACCCTGCAAACAGTGAAAGGAATGCGATTACAGTAAAACACGTGCATTTATCATCAGTTTAATGCATTTATTTTGTGTTTTTGTGCATCCAGGCACTCCCGTTCCCCAGCCAGGTGGTTTATAACCGTGTGGGAAAGTGCGGCAGCCGGACGGTGGTGATCTTACTGAGGTTACTGGCTGAAAAACATCAGTTTAACCTGATCTCCTCTGACATTCACAATAAAACACGCCTCACAAAGCATGAGCAGGTAAGTTCTTTGTGATGTCAAACTCATTAAAGACACACAAGAGGAAGTTTTTCTCTGCTGATGGTTCATTATATAAACTGCTGCAAATTCAAACCTGAACTAGGAAAATTGCATTTCCTGTGAAAATGCAGTGTGAATGCTTATTGCTAACAAACTTGCTGAAAAACAGCTGAAATGAGCTGAAAACATGCTGAAATTTAGCTGAAATGGAAGAACAAGCCTAAGCAGGAAAAAACCCCAGAAAGAACACGTTTGCTGAATTGGGTTTAAAAAAGGAGAAATGAGCATGAGACGTTAATAAATTAGGAGAAAAAAAAGCTAAAAATAGCTTAAAAGTAGCTGAAAAGGAAGAAAGAAGCTTAAACTACCAGACTGAAGTGGAAGAAGCTGAAATTAGCTAAGTAAATGTGGAATTAGCTGAAAAAAGCTAAATATTGCACAAAACAGCTAAATATTAGCTGAAATAGCAAAAAAAAAAAACTGAAACTAGAATAAATATGTTGAAAGGAGCATAACAAGCTGGAATTAGCAAACAGAACAAAGAAATTATCACAAAAAAAATTGAATTTATCTGAAAACAGCTGAAATTAGCTTAGAAATGCTAAAAAGTCATTGAAAAGGTAGACCAAGATTAAATTAGCAGAAAGAGCACATTTGCTTAAAGAATCAGAAATGAGCATAAAAAGTGGAAATTATCTGAAAGAAGTTGAAATTAGCAACAACAAAAAACTTCTGAAAAGTAGCTAAAAAAGCATTAAAAGCTTAAATTACCTGAAGGAGGTGGAGAGAGCACATTTTTACTAAATTAGGCTGAAATTTTTTAAATGAGTGCAAAATATGTGGAATTAGCCAAAAAAGCTAGCATTAGCATAAAAACTGCTAAATAGTGGCTGAACTAGCAGAAAAAGCTTAAACTTGCAGAAAGCAGCTGAAAGGAACATAACAAGCTGAAATTAGCAGAAAGATGTTAGAAGAAGCGCAAAAGTGTAGTAATTAGCAGGAAGAATCTAAAAGGATCACAAAACAGCTGAAAGAAACAGCTGAAATTAGCTGAAAGTGTAATGGTCAGCACTGGTTATTCTCCAAGTCAGCAAGTTAGCCCTTGCATCTGTTTAAAGAACTCTGACTCCCCGTGCTTGACCCCTGCCTTGCCTTCTGGATCATGACCCTACCTCTTCTGGATCCTCTCCCTGGCTGCAGCTGCATTTATAAATAAAACTGTTCATTTTTTTACTCTTGTGTCTTGTCATTCTGATTCCAAAAGCCTGGTTTCGTGACAGAAAGTAGCTGGAAAAAGTTTTTAAATTTGCACAAGTAAGCTGAAAGAAGCAGAGCCAGAACAAAATGTGTAAGGAGCAGTAAAAGGTTGTAAACAAAATCTTTAAAATGAGCTCAATTCATTGTCTATGAGGGGAAAAAAGTGGCAGAAAAGGTTAAATATTTCAAAAAGCTAAAGTTGCACCATATACCAATATGGGCAGTTCTTGTGTACAGTCATAGCCCCCTTCTCCTGAACAAGATGAACATTTTGATTTTATGATTTGTTGAAATAGCACAAAAATTGTGGATCGAGAAAAATGCTGAAAACATATGGAAGAAAAATGGATCACAATAGTGTGTATGCTTCATAAACATTCACACAATAAGACATTTGGGGTGCAGTTTATTGTACACTCACAACCGTTCTGGATCTATAATCATATTTTTCTTGATATTTGAAGCCCACTGTGTTCCTTGCCCAAGCCATTCAAAGACCGCACTGATTTTTAGGTTGGCTCTGATACTGGTATTCGCATGGTCACTGTGTACGAACAAGGCAGAAGCTTCAGGGTTTTCTTTAAATAGTTCATCAGTGCTGGTTTTACAGATGTCAAACATTTTTCATTACAAACCTTTCGGCCTTCTGCCATACAAATAAGTCCTGTTTTATGCCAAAAGTTAACCTAAACCACCTAAAATTGGTAGAAAACGTGTACCTAATACATACTATTTTAACATATCTAATAATACAAAACTCATGTGAAATGAAGGGTTTTGTGTATTTTAAGTATACTTTGTGTTAAATATCTGTTTTGTTATATGGGGTCAAATGATTTATTCTTTTGAAGTGGGGT